GAAAGACAAATATGTATCCTCAAAATAGTATCTCGAAAGGTTATTTGTGTTTCAGGTTGTTTGTCATATGGTATAGACTTAGACAAAAATATATATGTATATATTTTTTTGCCCATCATCTCCCCAGACTGTCTGTTGTGTATATTTGAAAAATTGGAGATTTTGAGAACATATTGATTAGACGGTATCATTGCTTATCACTTGCATTTGATCTTCTTCATTCCAGTATTCTTAAGGACAAGAGATACCCTTGTTGGTCATACCTGGTGTGCCTCATACCTGGTATAATTCTTAGGGCAGATCAGATATTCAACAAATACTCGTTAAAGACATCATTTCAGCTTTCTGTAAAACACAGTGACAGTGATTCTACGTGAACAACTTGATATTGTATGTAGAATTATTAATTTGTGTAAATATATACATAAATTTATCTTTTGTGGGGAGCTATTCCTATCATCAGGTATTCAAATGGATGCTTATTTCCCATAATATTAAGAGCCATAAGCTAGGATTTCCCAAGTGTGCAGATTTTTGTGCTAGTGGTTTAATGATAAAATCCTTAGGAGAAAGGAGGATTGTTTTTTCTTCCCAAAGCACACTTTTATTCATTAAGGCTCTTCTGTATGTCAGGCTCTATAGCTGGGTTAGAGATGCAGTTCTTATTATATAGGTCATACCATCATCTATCTCACAGTTTAGTAGATAACAGGTATTGGACAACTACACAAATTATGAACTGCTTTACTCAAAATTACATATTAAATGTTTAGGTACAATAGTCATACTTAATAGATTTGCTGTGTTTAGCAAAAGTCAGAAGCTGTATCAATATAAAACTGTAATCGGATTCCTGAGTTTTGGCTTTGGTAAAGGCTATGCTAAATATTTTGGGGGGAACAAAGATGAATAAGACATGAATTTTGGCCAGGTACGGTTGCTCACATCTGTAATCCCAGCACTTTGGGAGGCCAAGGCAGGCGGATCACCTGAGCTCATGAGTCCAAGACCAGCCTGGCCAACATGATAAAACTCTGTCTCTATTAAAAGTACAAAAATTAGCTGGGCATGGTGGTACATACCTGTAATCCCAGCTACTTGGGAGGCTGAGGCAGGAGAATTGCTTGTACCTAGGAGGTGGAGGTTGCAGTGAGCCAACATGATACCACTGCACTCCAGCCTGGGTAACAGAGAGACTCCATCTCCAAAAAATAAAAATTTAAAAAGACATGAATTTTGCCCTGAAAGAATTTTTAATCTAGTTCAGTAGTTTTCAACTCTGGCTACACATTAAAGTCATTTGGGGCCAGAGGAAAAAAGTAGGAGGCTGAAATATTCTCACTTGGATGGAAAACTGTTAAGATGATATAAACACTTTGAAGAAAGGTCTGGCATGTTCTTATAAAGGTAAACATACCTACTCCACGATCCCGTGATTCAAGAGAAACAAAAGCATATGCTACAAGAATAATCGTGGCAGCTTTTGCTAATAGCACCAAACTGGAAGCAACCCACAAACAGGTGAATGGATTAAGAAGCTGTGAAATATCCATTCAGTAGAATATTATTCAGTGACAAAAAGGAATGGGTTACTGAAACAACATCATGAATGAAAGAAGCTTTACACAAAAGTATGCACTATTTGATTTTGTTATTTGAAGTTTTAGGATAGACAAAAATAATGTAAGAAAGGGTCAGAAAACAGTGGTTTCTTCAGGGATGTGAGGATGGAAATCCCCTGGGTATAGGAATGCAGGAACTCTCTGGGTGATGCTAATGTTAATAAATTTTGGGGATCATATCATGTGGGGAGATAAAAGCAAAAACTTGCTATATTCTCTCTGCTTTTCCTTCTCCCTCATCAATTTTAAAACTCTGGGAATTACTCCATATGTATTTTTACAAAGACCCTCAGCTGATTCTAATGCCCACTGAGATTTGAACTATTAAATAGTATATAATATGGAGGAGAGTGTGTTAGTTGCATACTGCTACTGTAGCAAATCACCACAAACTTAATGGCTTGAAATGACACAGATTTATCATCTCATCATTCTATGGGTTAATGGTTTGGGTTTACTTGCCTGGTTCTTCTACTTTGGGTTTTTCCATCCCCAAATCAAGATTTAGGCAGGACTGTGTTTCTTTCTGGAGGCTCTGAAGATGAATCTACTTTAAGTTCATTAAGCTTCTTGGCAGAATTAAGTTCCATGTGGTCACAGGACTGTGGTCCCTATTTTCTTGTTGGTTGTTGGCCAGGGTCCTTCTCGGCTTCTAGTGGTTACCTTTAGTCCTTTGCTCGTGGTCTGCTACCTCCATTTTGAAAGCTAACAGGGATGGTCCAAGTTTTTCTCACTCTGCAGTACGGTCTGACCTCCTCCTCCTCCTCTTTTTGCCTCTTCTCTATCTGGTTTCCTCTTCTGGTGCATCTTCTGAGTGACTTTTCTACTTTCCTCTTTGAAGGTATTGTATGATTACACTGGATTCCCCCGGATAATCTAGAATAATCTCCCCATATTAAGGTTATTTGATTAGTAACCTTAGATCCATCTGCCAAGTCCCTTCTTAGCAGTGGCTAGATGAACATTTGATTAAACAATCAGGGGATGAGAGTCTTAGGGAGCCAGCATCTTTAAAATCCCGCATGAATGTGGAATTACATATAAAATACTGTAGGATTTCAGAATAAAGAGAAATTATTTTTAACTGGGTAGTATCTGGGAAAGCCCCTTTGAGATGGTAGTTGTTGTCTTTTGAAGGATAGTTCTGATGGGTGCTTTGGAGCAGGAGTAGAAGGGACTCCAGTTGGGGGTAACAGCTTAAATGCCTCTTAAATGCCTCTGTCTCTTGACCTCGTGATCCACCAGGAAGGGTGACAATGTGTGGTACAAGAAGAGCGGCCGTATCCCATGAGTGCACTCCATGTGCGTTAGTTACTATTTACAGAGCTATTCAGGCTACCAATGTCAGATTTTTCTAGATCAAAGTAAAAATAAGAGGAATATCCAGTTTATGAACACTTAGCATGCAAAATCATTATTTTAAAAGGACTAAGGCAATTGTGTGTTATTGTTTTTGTACCACCTTCTCTTTGGCTGTTAGAACTAAGTAGAGTTACACATGAAAACATAAAACCTGATTTTCATATTTCTAAACTCTTAAAAACTCCAAATCTGCTGATACAAACCAGCAAATGTGACCTTCAGGAAAAGTCTACCACTCTCCTTTTGTATTGCCCCACAGGGCTTACCTGTGGGTAATTATCCACCTAAAGCAGGGTACAAAGCTCATTTTTAGCGAGCTTTGTACCCTGCTTTAGGTGGATAATAGCATCAGTGTAGTCACAGCTTGTGGAGAGATGCTGAGGTCATATTGGCATGTCCTTGGTGTCTCTAAAAATTGCTGCCATATTATAATTGATTTTTTATAACAATTCTGCCTAAGGGAAAAATCTTTATTAACATTACTCTCTACCACTTACCTTCCTTTTCACCTAATTTATTTGTAAGCTATACAAAGAATTGTTTATGCCTTTTTATTTTGAAAGCATGCATCTATATACAAAGGATTCATAGAATACTTTCTGCCAACCTTTGAAAATCACAAAGGATATAACTGCCCACAGTTGCTTTTATTCAGCCTTCTCAAGTGTGTATACATAAGGGCTAAAATAACAAAACCAGTACAGCTAGCTGGTCCTTTTTTCACACACTACGTATGAGAAATAGATTAAAAAGGGAAGTTATGGTGGCAGAAAGCCAAGGGGTCTTTTACTAGAGATCAACAATTTCACTTGCCTTTGGTGAATCATATTTTGCCCTTAAAGCTTCTAGTACATACTAAGCCTTCCGTAGTCTTTCCAAACCTTTCTTCCTCTCTCTTGCCAGTGTTTGTTTTCCTTCCCTCTCTTCCCACCTTCCACCCAAACCTGAAGTGCTGGTCATGATGATTAGAGGCCTGTAAAAAGAAACCCGTCTTTTTCTGTGTCTTTTTTTTTACTCACTTTGAGTAGAAAAATAGCTTTTTCTTGGAGTTGCTCTCTGCATTCTGAGTAGACATTGGTACACGTGTAATTCATACAGTAGTTAATTGGCACTATTTAGCAGCTGGAAAGGAAGCACTACCTTCCTTACCATGTGGCAGTCTCATTCTTGTCACTATTCACCCATAATGTCTGCTGGTGTTCTGATTAAAGCTTTGTGCTTTCAGATTCAGAGACACTGGGAACTGTCTCTGATTTCACCTTTTCCCATTCATTTTCCCTCTTTAATATGCTAAGGTATACTTTCTGATAATTTAGAAAGATTGCTGTTGCTTTCACCTATAGTTCTCTGTTCCTGTTTCTATGGTACTTCTGACTTTGAAGATGCATTTCTTTGCCCATCTACTGTGTCAGTTACGTCTGTTTCTGGTTTCTTTTCTCTAGAGAAAATTGATTTTTTAAAAAATGAAACCAAGTAATTTCTTCCAGTTCTCGTGTTCTTATATTTTCCTTGTTTATAATACCTAATTAAAAGCTTATTATAAGGATCCTTCCAGTGTCATTAACTTCCAGTTAACTGTGTCTGTACTCCTGCAAATACCTACACACATCTTTATGAAAAGTCCAAGCCCCAATTTGTGGTACGTTTTTAAATTGTTAAGAACTGAAGATTTTGGGGCATTATTTGCATTTGAGAAGTCCTTTTCAACCTTAAAATCTATGGGTTTCTAGGTTTCACGTTATCTCATATGAACAAAGGTGACACCGATGTTTAAAAACTGAGGCTATCAGCGGGGCACGGGGTCTGACTCCTGTAATCACAGCACTTTGGGAGCCCACAGTGGGCAGATCACAAGGTCAAGAGATAGAGACTATCCTGGCCAACGTGGTTAAACCCCCTCTCTACTAAAAACAAAACGTTAGTTGGGTGTGGTGGCACTTGCCTGTAGTCCCAGCTACTCGGGAGCTGAGGCAGGAGAATTGCTTGAACCTGGAAGGCGGAGGTTGCAGTGAGCCAAGATTGCACCACTGCATTCCAGCCTAGTGACAGAGCAAGACTCCGTCCAAAAAAAATAAAAAAATTTCTGAGGCCATTCACACACAGGTACAGAGAGAGTGAGCAGACACATGTATGCGAGCATAAAGAGAAGTTTCTCTGCCTAAGGACATTTCTTCCAGTCCCTCACTGAATATCTGAATATGCCCTTCTACTCATTTGCTACATAAAAGCACAATCCTGGTGATTACCCGCTTAGGATACAAATTAATAATTAAGACCATCCAGTCCATAGGGGTGAGGGGGGAAACTCAAAGTAGAAAATATAAACAGTAACAAATGAATCTAACTGTATTACAAATTAAGTATTTTGTAATTTACACTAAAAGGGATGGGAAAGGAAAGAACTAACATAAATAATTTTGAAAAACGGCATTTTAACTGGATGCCATGTGGCAGAAGACAAAAAACAGTATTGAAACACCATACTCCAGTTAGTAAATTTGTTTTTTATAGGGGTCACTTTGCAAGCTGGGGACCCCTGGCCAGCAATGCCCCATCTGAGCCTCCCTCAGCCATGCTGACATGCCCCAGCTCACCTGTGTTAACAGCTTGTACCCTTGTTTTGTGGTTCCTGAGCTCGTAGACTAAGCTCAAGAAGAATGAGGATACAGGGGCCATGGAAGGGTGAGGAGGGTGAGGAAGAATTTTATTGAGTTATAAAAATGGCTTTCAGCAAGAGAGAGAGGGGATTCCCCTGTGTGGCTGTGTCTGGGGCCCTTTATGGACTCAGAATGGGGAGTGCATGCTGATTGGTTTGTAAGTATGCAAAAAAGGTTAAAGCAAATAACACCATTCAAAGGTGGGAAGGACAATGTAGAAAAACCAATTAGGAAAGGGTATATGTAAAATAGGTGAAGGATGGGGACCAATCAGAGGAAAGTATGCCAAGCAGGAAGACAGGTTCTCAATTCAGTCAGAGGATTTAACTTGCAGCTTGGCTTTCAGACTTTAAAACTGTCTTCGACTTGGAGGTGAGGTTTTGCTGGGGATCTGCCACTTTCTGTCTATGCATTTGTCTGCCTCTATCACTACTTTATGTTTATATTAGGATATGCAAATAAGCAAACATACTATAGATGATAAGAGCCAGTTTTCTGTCTATGAGAGAAAGAAATTATGAATAAGGAACGCTGTGGTATTGGATTGCAGTTGGCGTTATTGGTATGAACTCGTAATTTTTAATGTATGTATTGATGCAGAAATGTAGACAAGTGTGCATGATAGGTATGTATATATGTATGTAAATACACACTTGCATATATTTGTTAGCTCTGCCTGCTGAGGGGATCTGGAAGCAATGACACCTCAATACCAATGACGAGTATAGCATCCAGACCTTGGTTTCTAAATACCGTTTATGAGTAAAAGAACTCAATGCTCTGTAGAGAATTGGTTGGTTGTTGTCCTGGGTCAGGGAACATACAGGATGAGCCTAGAACATCTTGTGGTGCCAGAAAGTAAATAAGTGCTCAGAAAAGGGGGGTGGTATGCCAGAAGGCCAACCTGGCCAACCTGGAGGAGCTCCCAATGACCAAAGCTGGAACAGTTTGAGCAACAAAGTGGTAGTATTAGATTATACTCAGAGAAGAAAATGAATATCCATTGAATACATTTTAAAATTTGTAGGAAATTGACAGATTTTTATTACAGAAAAAAATTTAACAGTTGTAAAAGGAAAAAATGAAATGGCAAATATCACACTAATTATTGTTGCACATAGATCCATTGAAGGATGCTAAATTTAGTAGATGAAAGTTAGGGAAGAAACAGGATATTTGCATAGTCTCAAAGTATCTCTCCCAAGATATTTATTCATTATGAGGGGAAAAATAGTAACTTTACAGTATGGACAACCAAAGATACCATCTTAACCAAGTGATCAAGGTTAACATCACCAATGACAAGGCATCTCAACATCATGAAGCCTCTGATGCCCTAAGGAGAAGATAACATCACTTCTCTTCCTCAAAATGCCTAACTTCATTGTAAAAAAGAGAAAACAGCAGCCAACCCCAAATTGCAAGATAGTCTATGGAATAACTGGCCCATCTTCTTCTGAGGTGTCAAAGTCCTAAAAGACAAGGGAACCCTGAAGAACTATCACCAGTTTAGGAGACTAAGAAGCCATAACAACTGAAGGCATTGTGGGTTCTACAGAGAATCCTGGAATAGGAAAAGGGCAGTAATGGGGAAACTGGTGAAATTTGAATAAGGTCTATAGTTTAGTTAATACTTTACCAATATTCACAGTCTGGTTTTGATCATTGATGGGTATGTAAGATGTTAACCTTAAGGGAAGACTTGGGGGAGGATTTCCAGGAATTCTTTGTACTATTTGTATAACCTTTTTGTAAGTCAAAATTATTTCAGAGAAAAAAAAGATGCTTGGATAGCTAAATGGACCAAGGTGTGTCTACAAGGACATTAATTGCAGCATTGCATACAATAACAAAAAATTGAGAATAATACAAATCTTGGTCAGTGAAGGATTAGGTCAATTATACTTTATTTATGTAATTAATACAATAGTTAAAAAGACCACAGAGTTATGAATAGTGGTATGGATGTCAAAATGAAGAGAAAGGGTTAAGAGTATGGCTTCTTCATTCATGTTGCCTGGATTCTCTGATATTTAACTGTGACCTTCAAAAAATTATTCCTCTCTCAGCTTCCTCATCTGTAAATTGGGAACAGTGAATATACCTACTTATGAACCGGGAATGAGGTTTAAATATGAAAATCCATGTAAAGCATACAGGATGATACTTAGCACATAAAAATACTTGATAGAATGAGTACCTAATTATTATTTTTGAGGAATTGATGGAGGAAACTTCGATACAAAATTAAGTATGGAATGATACCATTTGTGTTAAAATTCGTATATGAGAATCTTGAAGATTAAGTGCTAATATGTTAATAGTGATGCTGTCAGGGGAACAGCATTTTAGGGAACTTCCGGGGTTTGTTGTTGTTGTTGTTGTTGTTGTTGTTTAGATAGGGTCTGCTCTATCACCTAGGCTGGAATGCATATAGCATTGCAGTCATAGCTCACAGCAACAGCAAATTCCAGGGCTCAAGCAAAGTTCTCACCTCAGCACCCTCCTCTCATGTAGCTGAGACTACAAGCCTGGCTAATTTTCTTATTTTTTGTAGAGATAGGGTTTTGCCATGTTGCCCAGCCTGGTCCCAAACTCCTGGCCTAAAGGAATCTTCCCCGTCGGCCTCCCAGTTAGGAACTTCCACTTTCTAAGTTAAATATTTCAAAATGTATTTTGCATTAAGTATACTGAAGGTACCCAGGAAACTTCACCCCAAAATATGGTTCCCTGGTATAATAAGTATTTTGAATTAAAGGTCTTTAGAGATCAGCAAATGTGAGAAGAGACTTTTCCCTTATCCAAGTAAAGACTGGACCCACCAAGGAGAACAATTGTTCTTCCTTAGCCTCCTTGTTACGTATTGCAACAGAGAATGCCGAAGAATATAACCATGCTGGAACATTTGCTAAAGAGGCCCATTTACAAGTTAATCTCTGTTTTCTCATCCATTCATTCTCCTTGGTAATCATTTATTGCCCTCTGACAGAATTCCCTATATCCGCTATCTCCCCACTCCTCTATGAGAAGAAGCTATAGGAGTATGTTGATCCCATTGGAATATTTGGGGAATCACTCTGTGATTCTCCCTTGTCCATGTTAATAAATTGTATGCCTTTTCTCATGTTACTCTGCCTTTTTTCAGTTGATTTTCAGTGAACCTTCAGAGGCTAAAGGGGAAGTTTGCCCTTTTTTTTCTGCTATACAGTTGAAGAAGTATGCATAGCAACTTTTAAAAGAAGCCTGCTATCAATATTTATTAAATAAAAGCCAGCAATGGAAACTTTATTTCTAAAGCTAAATGCCTTGCACAGTCTCCAAGGTCATATGACTTGTCCTTCACATTGGAAATTATAAGAGACCTGACTCTGTTCCGAGCCGCTTAAAACTAGTTGAAGTCTATAATTCTCTGAAATGTGGGTCTTAACATGGAAGATTAATTACTCTGGTATATAGTTCTAGGCTGTGAAAAGTTATGTGTAACCTAGGTAAGGATGGGTATGACTAGCTCTTTTTCCTCATGAAAAATAAAATAAAAGGCCTGAAATGTAGCATTTCACCAACAATAAGTAATTCCTAACATTTTTATTAGAATGATTAAACCCTGGAGTTGAGCACCAATGGTGACATAGTCTCCAGACCTAAAGTTAAAAATAGGATAGATATCAATTGCTTTTTAATCTTTAACTGGTGGTGGGCCACCTGAGTTATAGTGGGATCCAGAATTCACTAATATCCTCACAAAAGCCATCTATGTTTATATGTAGTGTAGGTAAAATATGTATGGAAATAACTACATGTTTTCAAAGAATATTCTCATACTTGTATTTTGGATATGACATCAGTTTTGTTTTATGATTGTGAAGATTTTTTTTTCCTGTGCTTGGTTTGATGCCTGTGTTGTCCTGAAGATCTATACAGTGCTTCCTTGGGAACTAAGCCTGACCATTCTGATTTAAGCATATACAGGTTACATAGCAAATTTAAGGCCCATCTGTCTTTGTGGTTTGGGTGATACTAGTTTGGTTGGTTGGTTTTTTTTTCTTTTTTCTTTTCTTTTTTTTTTTTTTTTCGCTAGATCATCTATAACACAAAGTATACCAGGTTTCTTTGCAAGGAAATAGGAAGACAGTTCTAAGATATTAGGATGAAAGGTGAAACTTTCTTCTGTTCTCTTGTATTTGTGATTCCTTTTTATATCTTCCCTATTATAGTCCTTTCAAATTTGAATCACCAAAGCTTCCCAAGAATAAAATGAAAATGTCGAAAGCATTATTTTCCTTATATTACTCCTGGTAATGTTTTTATGCATTTTCCATCCTGGTTTCTTAAACACTTTTGTTTAAGTATATATTACTGGTTGACCTGCTATTTTAAAATTGCTTAGATCTCATTTCGGTTGTACTTTTTTCTTCAGGCCTCCACCTGCTTTTTTATTCTGTTTGCAACAGACACTGTTTCATTTGTTGGTAACCATATGGCAGAGCATTTCTTTTTTTTACAATAAAATTAGATGCAATGTGTTGAAGCTCATATTGTTGTATCACAGTCTCTGGAGAGCTTAAAGTAGGTGGGAGAGGGCATCCCAAAATGCAGCATGCCACTGATAGGACGGATAATCTTAGCACAGGATTGGGTTTTTAAATATTGCATTTTAAAGGTGCCGACACATGTAGCTAGTGCCAGTACAAGAGTGGAGTCTATAGATGAATAGCACAGCTGCAGTGTTGGTGGAGTTTTCCCTCCTATTTCCCAAATACTTTGGTTTCTTAAATTCTAGGATTTTTTTTTTTAAACTCTTCTTCCTGCACACTGAAATTCCAGGATTTTAATATGACATAAGCTACTCCCATGGAACACTGTTGTGAAGTTGAGATCATCATGGTAACAAACTCCAAAGAAAGATCAGTGGACACTTCGACTCACATCATCTAGGTTAAATTTTGACCCTATCCCTTACTGGCATTGTGACATTGGGCAAATTAAGGAGGCTTTCTGAGGCCCCTTTCTCTAACCATAAAATGGAGATAACATCACATCTTGTGAACAGCTGTTAGAGGAATAAATGAGATTACATGTATCAAATGCTTCATACCTTCCCTGGGCTATGACTTGTACCTATAACTGTTCTTCCTTTCTCTCTACTACTTGTTCTCATCATCCTCTTACTCAGTATTTTGTTTTCTAAGGTTTAAAAAACAGACAATAGAAAACATTATTTTAATCCCTTTTTATGTTTTGATCTGAAAAGCTTTATGTATTTCCTTTCTCCCTTTCATTCCTTCATTCATTGTTGGCTTTGTGCCAGGACTACTTTTTATTTTTAGACAGTCTTGCTCTGTCACCCAGGTTGGAGTGCAGTGGTGTGGACTTGGCTCACTGCAACCTCCACCTCCAGGATCAAGCAATTCTCCTGTCTCAGCTGGGAATACAGGCGCACACTGCCATGCCTGGCTAATTTTTTGTATTTTAGTAAAGAGCTAGGTTTCACCATGTTGCCCAGGCTAGTCGTGAACTCCTGAGCTCAGGCAGTCTGCCCTCCTCGGCTTCTGAAAGTACTAGGATTACAGGCTAAGCAACCACACACGGCCACCAGGACTTCTTTCTTCAGGGTCCAGTAAGCCTTCTGGCCTCAGGGAGGCACCCAAGTTAATCCACACTCAGAGAAAAGCCAGCAGTCACTGGGAAACTCAAGTGGAAGTGCTGAACCCGGAGGCAGCTGAAAGGTGTGCAAAGTGAAGTCGGCCTCACAGAGCTGAGGCTCAAGGGACATTAGGAGGTACAGGGGACAATGTGGTGGGACAGAGGGAATTGTTTGTTCATTTGGATATTAGGATGAGTGAGAGAAAGGATGTCCAGGTGACTTCTGGGATTTAGGTACCTGGTGGGGTCATTTCACTGAGATTTGGAATGTAAGAATGGTTTATTAGAAATGGAGGTAATCTTAGAAGATTATCTAGATAGTCTTATATTCATAAATTTTTAGATAAGGAAACCGAGAGGCTGTCAAGGGTAAGCTCAAAAAGCAGTAGAGCTTCATCCAAGGTCACTCAGACTCTCCCTGCCATAATAAGGGGAAAATAATGTGACTGCAGAAGGACCCTTAGAGAACAGGACTGAAGGTATGATGGATTCTACTTGAGAATTTTGCAAATGAAACGCTGCACATTTTTCTCTTCGTAGCTAGGGAAGGTCACTGCAAGCTGTCAGAATTGAAGAGGAGAAGTGAAGTGGAACAAAAAGGGTGGAGTTGAGGTCAGATTCTGAGGAGAGAGAGAGTAGGTTGCCAAAACTGAGTACTTGTAAAGCACTGTAGAGGTGATCCAGGCTGAGTTAACACAGCAGGAGCTGTCAGTGTGGAACCTGTGTCGGTGTCCAGTTCTGGGGGCCAAGCAGAGGTCAGACCTGGGAACAGAAGACAGGGAAGCAAAGCTGTGCTAGGGTAATGTGGAGTGGGTCCAGGGCAACTCCATGGACAGCAGCTCCTGCTCCCGGAGACTGGCTGGCCTCTGCTCTGGCTGACAGGAACATCTTGCAGTTTGTTTCTGTGAGCTTTTCTATGCTGAAGAAAGTTACTACACAGTCTCTTATTCCAGATTCGATATTGTTTGTGAGCTCTTGACATTTCCTTTGGAAATAACTTATGTTCTAAAGATAGCTGATAATGTTATCTTCATCTAATTTCTAATATTCTTTAAAAATATTTGACTTAGAATGATAAAAAACAGATACTATACTTGATCTTAGCCAGAAAGCCAGGTAAATTTCAAATTTTCTCATTGCATAAAAAGTATTTGTGGTAATGGATATATTACTTTGTTTGATTTAATTATTTCACATTGAATTTTCAAATCATAATATCACTTTATAATCTCATAAATATATACATTTATAAGTTGATTTATGATAAAAAAAATTTGGTTTGTATTTTTTGCTACTATAAATAGGATAAATTAGAGTCCTGTGACCATGCTTGCTAATAGTGGTACTGTATTTATAAAAGAATGTCTTATCTTTAGCTATTAGACACATGAAAAATGGAAATTAGAAAATAGATTTCAAAGTATGTATTATCTTCTCCTTTATTTTCAACCCTATAATAAAACAGATGTTTTAGAACACTTTCTTGTTCTCTGTAGAGTTCAGACAAAGGCACTGTATTTACATGTGATGTTTTCCAGGTTTGCCCAGCCCCTTGTTTCTTTAAATACTCTTCGTATTTCAACAGTGAGTTTATAACTAATAATTAAGCATGGGAACACCTAGTTTTTCCCTCAAATAGCTTACCCTTTTTCTTCCAGAAGATCTGTTTATTGCCTACAATTCTTTACTTTTGTGGGAGAATCATCTGCTTCCTTGTTACTGATTATAACTGGGAAGGATTTTCAATTTAAATTAATTTTCAGTTGCTTAATGTTCTTCCTTAACTATATTTATTACCAAATTTTCATCCATCTGAATTTTTCCAGGTTTTCCGTGTGTGCCTTCCAAAATGATTTTTGAACCATAAACATGTATTAACTAAATCACTGGGAGAAATCACCCTGGAGTCCACGTTGTTCCAAACAATCTGTGATACCTAAGAGTCTAAGGTTCATCTTAAAAGGAAAAGTAATCATCCTTATGGTATTTTTTTGTCTTTAAAATATACCAAAAGAAATTTTAGAACAAAAATGATTAGAATTTTTTTCCAGATATTGTTGGGGTGAAGTTGGGATTTCTCATTTTTTGAATATAGCTTACTTTTTAGCCATCCAAAAATAGCATTTCTGGAAAATAGTCAATTGTAGCTATAGTCAGCCCTTCAATGTGTATGATGTCTATATCTCTCTTGTGGAGTTACCAGGTGACTAGTATGAATCTTCAGTGCTGAGAGTAAGATACCAGTTTGGCATTCAGCCTACTCATGTTAAGGTTTAACCTGTGATGGGATTCTCATTTCTGATAATGATTATCATATTAAAAATTTAACTTGTCATGGACACAGAGAGGGGAGCACTACACACTGGGGTCAGTTGGGGGGAAATAGGGGAGGGACGGTGGGGGGTGGGGAGCTGGGGAGAGATAACAAGGGAAGAAATGCCAGATATAGGTGATGGGGAGGAAGGCAGCAAATCACACTGCCACGTGTGTACCTATGAAACAATTTTGCATGTTCTTCACATGTACCCCAAAACCTAAAATGCAATAAAACAAATAAATGGGAAAAAAAAATTAACTTGTGATGTGTATGGTAGATCCCCTTTATAATATGGTTATTGTGTGGATTCTATTTAGCATCTGATAGATTCTGTTCACAGAAAAAGCAACTGTCCACAGTGTAAACCTCATAGATCGGCCCTGTCCATCTTGACAATGCAGACGTTGTCTAATCACATAACAGTGTAACTTCAAGTCCACCCTTGAGATGATCTTGATGAACCTTCTCATTTTATAAATGAGAAAGGGGGTTTCAGGGAAATAGTAACTTGTTTAAGGCCCTAATTAGCATGGGTAAAGACAGAATAGAGAGGACAGCTACTTCTCCTTCCCACTGCCATTGTTTTCTCACCTGCCAGGATGCTTCTATTTTGAAATGATAAGCAAAATTGGTCACCAGAAAGTCCTGATAACAGATTGTTATGTAGAGGCTGAGCTATGGAATTAACATTCAGTTCTGGGCTTGCTTTCCTTTCCCTGTGACCCCATGTTAGTCATTTGGATTTCCTGATTTCCATTCCTTTGCCCTTCTCGCAATTTCACACTGATTCAGACTTTTAAAAGTTAGCTTCTAGTTGGTATCATGTGTAAGCAGAAAATAATTTATAAGCAGTTTCTCTTGATCATAAATTGAGTAGAAGGAACCTGTTCCTGTTGCCTGTGTGATAAGGATGTATGCAAGGGCACACTTGTTCAAACAATAGGAAGTCAAGTTCAAGTAGGTCAAAATAAAGTTAAAAGTAAACCCCATGATACAAGATGAGTTTTGTGTATTTTTTCTACTGAAGTTCAGTTAAATAATTGCTTTAAAGTTAGAAAGTGATAATAGACTAGACAGCATTCTGTACCCTGGGGAAGAAAAATACTTTTCCCCAGAAAACCTATATTTGCAAGACTAATTTGTAGCCTTATGCATA